TCTAAATCAGGACCTAAATAAAGTCCACGCATTGAAATTGGTTGAGGTGTCTCTTAAATCTACTTTATAGGTTCTCCTCTCTCAGACATGCATTTGAGTCTCTCTTCCCTCTCTTTCCTCCCTTCCTTCTTTCTCCCTCTCTCTCTCTCTCTCCCCCTCCATTTTTGATGAAGAAACTAGATAAGTTGTTCTGTAGACTTTCACTCAGTCTGTATTTTGCTAATTGCATTTCCTTTGTCCCACATATTTCCTGAAAATTGATAATTAGATGTACAGACTTGATCAGATCCAGTTTAGATTTTTATTTTCTTCTTCTTTTCTTTAACAAAAATTACTCCATAGGTGATATTCTGTGCAACCATCAAGTAAATGAGTCTGATGGGGTTTTTTGGTTTTTTGTTTTGTTTTGTTTTTGTTTCTTAATTTATTTTTGGCTGCATTGAGTCTTCGTTGCTGTGTGTGGGCTTTCTCTAGTTGTGATGAGCAGAGGCTACTCTGTGTTGCCGTGCACAGGCTTCTCATTGTGGCTGCTCTTGTTGCAGAGCACAGGCTCTAGGGGCACGGGCATCAGTAGTTGTGGCACGTGGGCTCAGTAGTTGTGGCTTGTGGGCTCTAGAGCGCAGGCTCAGTAGTTGTGGCACAAGGGCTTAGTTGCTCTGCGGCATGTGGGACCTTCCTGGACCAGGGCTCGAACCCGTGTCCCCTGCACTGGCAGGCAGATTTTTAACCACTGCGCCATGAGGGAAGCCCCTGATGGTTTCTTTTTTTGTGATATTATTAGATATGTAATAATTGCCTCAATCCATTAATTTATTAAAGGAGACAAAGTAATCATCTGTTACTTTTTTTTTCTTTAAAAGCCAGAACACTTCTATAAGAGAAAGTTTCCTTCAGCTTTTTTGTTTACCCTGTGGTACAGTGTATAATAGGAAAGCCAATATAAATACTTGATTCTTTCCCTTTAAGTACCAGTTTTCAAAATTAGTTGGTTTCCTGGCATCTACTGAAGATGACCAGTGAAATTTTTTTTTCACTATGAACTCAAGCATTTCAACACATTTATGTTTCAATCCATTGTAGTTATTATCATTGTTGATTCTCAAATTGTTCTTTCTTTATTCCAGACCTTATTCTGGTTAGCTCCTGAATCCCTTTGATATGGACCTAGTGGTCTTTAATAGCACCATGCTTTCTGATCTTGTATACTTCCTACTGTGGACCTGGAATTATCCATTTTCCCAGGAGCCCTATGGAGAGAAATAGCACCACACATTGGATTCTTTTAGTAGGAAATGACAGATACCACATTCTGGTACTAGTATTTTGGGTGTATGGTATAATTTCAAATGTCATTCAGCAGCGTGCTACACCACTGCATGCCTGACTCCTCTATTACAAGTTTTCTGACTCTGCCCTCTCCTGTCTCCTTGCTTGCTATTAGCAAAATGATTGCTCTCTCTACCAAAAAAAAAATTGTTCATAAACATCTCAAAGTTATCAAATAAGTAGATTGCTTACAGGTGAAGGATCAGAAGGAAATATTTAGAATTGACTTATAACTGTTTTCTAACCATCCTCTCCTTCCAACTCTACAGTGTCAGAGAGGGCTTTGAGGGAAGATTGAAAAAGTTGCACAGAAATATGCTTGAAACACAAAAATGACACCGTTAGCTTTCTTTTTCAAGATTGAAAATTACAAAAGGGGAAGTGGTACCTTGAGAGAGGAAAAATCTTGCAGATACTACCTTAGCCAGGTGATCAAAGTTAATATCACCAGTAATAGGACATAGTGATGTAATTTGCCTCTTGATGTGATACTCTGTGATTACTCTACATTACTAATATGTGTAGTAATCCTTCCAAAAATGCACTAGCTGACTCATTAGGAAACAAACTCAAACTGAGCAACATTCTATAATACCGTGAACCTGTGCTCGTCAAAAATGTCAATGTCATGCAACACAAAGGGTCAGGAACTGTTCCAAATTAAGAGACTAAACTGACTTGACAGCCAAATAAATACAAGGCATGATCCTGGAGTTGAAAGGGAAAAATTGTTATCGAAGACAATTTTGGGACAATTGGCAAATTTGAATATGGACTATATATTGAATAATATGTTAGCAATATTGAATTTCCTGATTTTGAAAAATAAACTGTGGCCATGTAAGAATATGTCCTTGTTCTTGGGGAAAACACACTGAAGTATTATTGCTGAAGAGTCATGATGTTTGAAACTTACTCTCAAATGGTTCAGCAAAAATAAGAAAAGAATAAGAATGTGTATGGTATGGATTTTATATATTCCATATATACAGAGAGGGAAAAAAAGCACATGTTAACAAAGAGTAAATCTAGGTAAAAGATAAAGGATTTCATTGCATTATTTTTGCAACTTTTCTCAATATCTGAAAATTTTTAAATAATTTAAGATCAAATAATTCATTTTTATTATTTAATTTTACTTTTCTGTAGCTTAGCTTATTTTTGAAATTTTAAATTTTATTTCTTATAGCAATTTATTTTAATGTTTAATATTTATAAATATATATTTTAGTAGATGTTTTATAATATATCTATATCTTTTTGTATTTGAAATGCTTAATATGTCATCCCATGGCTTATTTTATTAATTCCCTTGAAAAAATAAAATACCATATAAATACCAAAATATCAGTATTGTTATTTGGTTTATGTGGTTCAGTCACTAGTGGAGTGGGAACCTTTAACTCTTGAAATTGACAAGTTCTACTTCAGGGAATTGTTAAAAGAGCTGAAATAAAAAAGGATGAGCCTGTGGTTAATTGTTTAAAAATTACACTTCTGTCTCAACTCAACCTCCTTGCTTCCCGCTTTTCTGCCAACTACCTCACAGATGTTTGAGTGACCAAAAGAGTAATTAAAAGTGTTTGTGGTGGCTCAGTAGGATGGTTTTTTGTTTTTGAGATTCTAGACATGTGCAAAAACTGAAATCTCCGGTGGTAGGTGGGGTTTCTGTGGAAAGCCATTGCCAGAGTTGGTAGTGCCATAGAGGAGAGCTTTGAAACTCTACCTCTGTGGTATGCCTGTGTTATGTCATAGTGGCTAAAGGGGACCAGGGACCATGTCTTTAACTCTTTTTGTGTATGTCGATGGTAGCATCTGGTATGCTGGGTGATTGCCTTTTATAAAACCTGTTAGACAAATGGGACCTAATGAAACTTAAAAGCTTCTGCACAGCAAAGGAAACCATAAACAAGACAAAAAGACAACCCCCAGAATGGGAGAAAATATTTGCAAGCAAATCAACAGACAAAGGATTAATCTCCAAAATATACAAAGCTCATGCAGCTCAATATCAAAAAAACAAACAACCCAATCAAAGAAATGGGCAGAAGACCTAAATAGACCTTTCTCCAAAGGAGATATACAGATGGCCAAGAGGCACATGAAAAGATGCTCAACATCACTAATTATTAGAGAAATGCAAATCAAAACAGCAAATCAAAACTACAGTGAGGTATCACCTCACACCGGTCAGAATGGCCATCATCACAAAATCTACAAACAATAAATGCCAGAGAGGGTGTGGAGAAAAGGAAACCCTCTTGCACTGTTGGTGGGAGTGTAAATTGATACAGCCACTATGGAGAACAGTATGGAGGTTCCTTAAAAAACTAAAAATAGAATTACCATATGACCCAGCAATCCCACTACTGGGCATTTACCCAGAGAAAACTATAACGCAAAAAGACACATGCACCCCAATGTTCATTGCAGCCCTATTTACAATAGCCAGGTCATGGAAGCAACCTAAAGGCCCATTGACAGACGAATGGATGAAGAAGATGTGGTACATATATACAGTGGAATATTACTCAGCCACAGAAAGGAACGAAATTGGGTCACTTGTAGAGATGTGGATGGACCTAGAGACTGTCATACAGAGTGAAATAAGTCAGAAAGAGAAAACCAAATATCGTATATTAACACATATACGTGGAATCTAGAAAAATGGTACAGATGAACCTGTTTGCAAGACAGAAATAGAGACACAGATGTAGAGAACAAATGTATGGACACCAAGTGGGGAAAGGGCAGGTGGGATGAATTGGGAGATTGGGATTGACATATATACACTAACTAATATGTATAAAATAGGTAACTAATGAGAACCTGCTGTATAGCACAGGGAACTCCACTTCGTTGTACAGTAGGAACTAACACAACATTGTAAAGCAATAATACCCCAATTAAAAAAAAAACTTAAAGTTCTAGGCACACTGATGGTGTACATGCTTTTAGAATAAATTAATGTGGGCTGGCTGTTTCCTCATACCTGTAATGAAAGAAATTCAATGATATCAATACTGTGCTGTTTTGCAGGTTAGGTTGATGACTGGTTTTGCTTCATTAATGTCATCAACAAGCTAATGTTTTTCTTTTTTAAAAAATCTAGTGTTGTTAGCAGTGAGCTGGAGACCAAAAATTTTCCACTTCAGTTTGTTCATAGTCAAATTATAAAACACATTGTTTGTAATCATGAAAAACTGAAAATAACTTTTATGCCCATTAATACAAAAATGCTTAAATCAGTTACAGTATAACTTTGCAGTTGTGAAGTGATTAGAGAGGCTAAGGTAGGTCCATATTTTCCAAAACGGAAAGATTTCTAAGACATATTAAGTGAAAACAACTTGCTGAAAAATACTTATAATATCTCATTTATTTTTTAAAGCAACTATATATTGTGTACATAACTTCAGGATACTCTATAAAAAAGCCTAAACTATTTAATAACCTAGAGATTTGTGGGAGGGGAGAGTGCAGGAAGGAATGAACTTATATTTTTTGTCTATACCTGTTTTATGCTTTTGTATGTGTAGCATTCTTAAGCACCAAAAATTTATTAATGTATTACTGTGTACTTGTACAAATTAATATAATTGGCAATTTATGTAAAAATTACAAAGGAGTGGGTGTAATCTAATCAGTGCAAATGATATAATTTCTTTCAATAGCTGATATGCATTCAGGATGGTTACCTTTCCCTGCTGACAGAAACTGGTGAAGTTCGTGAGGATCTTAAGCTGCCAGAAGGTGAACTAGGCAAAGAAATAGAAGGAAAATATAATGCAGGTGAAGATGTACAGGTAAAGACCTATGGAGAGATTGTTGTTTTAAATCATTTTATAAAAACTTTGAGCTAACCTAATTAGCATAAAATACTATATGTGAAATACAGCTTTTAAATACTGCTGAAACGTTGAAAATGATCTCTAGAACTAGGCAGTTTTCCCATGATACCTTTTACCATGGCCATTACCAAAGAAAGTATCAAAGTTCACTTTTTACTACATAGACACTGTCAGCCCCGAATTTGTTTTGAAGATCAGCCTGAACTATTCTTAAGGATGAGAAAGGATGTTATGGGAATACTAAAGAGTGAAGGTGACTTACTTTATCTTGTTATAACTCTCAGAAGTATAACGTCTAATAAGTATTGAAACATTTATAGTTCATATTCTCCTGTTCCCTGGAAGTTTTCTTAAAAACCACAATTTGAGAAATTTAGCTTTAGAAAACTGTAAAAAAAAAGTAGATTATTTGGTCTTGGAATACCTCTTTACAAAATCAATATGTATAAAATATCCATAAATATCCAATGTATGATGAATTAACTATATCTTATATATGTATTGCCTTTTGAATACATTTTTGCCTGCATTTTTTTCCTTCTAGGTGTCTGTCATGTGTGCAATGAGTGAAGAATGTGCTGTAGCCATAAAGCCCTGCAAATAAATGGGAACATCAGGCATGAGCAAAATGTTTAGGTCTGGATCAACTGCAGATCTAAAGTTTGGTTCTAAGTTGTCACCAAAGCTATGGCGTTCATAAGCAACCTCATTTCTTTTTTAATTGTTTTGAAATTGTGCTGAGTTAGTTTTGCAGGCAATTCGTAATTTAGAAAAATGATCAAGATTTATAATTCTTTCTTTAAAATTTTGTAGGTGTCTTTCCTATAACTTTCCTGTGGTTTTCAGTATGTAAGTCTAAGAAACAGACAAGATAGCTTCAGCAGATGTGATTTGTCTGAGCAAATCGTTCCTAAATTTTAGTTAAATGATAAATAAACCAGGGTTTTAAATCAAACAGTGTAGCATCTAGTGGTATTGAAGCACCACATTTAAGTTGAATTGCTCTGCATTAATTTCAAACTTAATATCATAGAATAAGTAGGTTATGGATTGGAATTGTCAGAGTTTCAGCATGGGTGTGGCAAGTACAGATCCTTAAACAAAAATCATGTTATCAAAAAGTGCCAGTTATCTTAGTAACCATGTGCAGCCCACCTGTATTACCTCAGTCATTCTGTTCTTTGCCAAATTGCTGGTACACTTAATATAACCTATATTATGGTGATTTTAGTACTTTCTTGTGGTTGACAGAGGCATTAAACTGTTTTGTGATTGTTAGCAAGTCATATTGTAAGGAAGACACAAAGGACAGTGGCAAAGGATGTTGGTTAAAGCTATAGGTTTTTATTTGTGGCCTTTGTATTCAACATAAAAATAGGAAGTTTCCATTTGTGTTTTTGCCTTTAACTCTTGTTTTCTCTCTTTATTTAAGGGAGTGACCTGCTTTACAGGATACTATGCAGCACTTTTTATCAATTATGTTGAATAAATGTTGGTATTTGTAGTAGTCACTCCTTTTCAGCCATTTTTAAGTAGACTTTTTTGACATCAAAATATTTGTTAGAAAAAACTGGAAATTCTTACTTTAAATTGATTTGGAACATTTGTTAAATTTATGTATGTTTTTTCTAACATGAAAGTGAATCATAGAAGAAAAGTCACTTTATGTGATAATTATTATTTAACTTAAAAAGTTTATTTTATCTGATTGTCATGTGACTTAATTCAGTTACTGGTGTGAAATATATCTAGGAAAGAATTCTATAAACAATTATTTTAAAAAGTATTTTAGGTGATTCTGCTACATTTCTGTTTAGTCTTTTGGATCATATATCTCTATATTTCCAGAATTCTAGGCATTGTCACAGGGTTTGTGAGGACCTTTGACTCAATACCAGTCATTATATTGCAGTGAAACTTAGAACAAAATCACCATTTCAGTAATAACTTCATTCTCTAAGACTCATTATGAGACCTCTCCCATCATACTTCGACTTCTAAAAGGCCTTTGTACCTATCATCTAGAGGAAAATATGTATGATGCTGTAACTGGTCTACTCAGTGACTGGAAATAGCATTAGGAAAGAAGATCCCAAAGTTTTAGTTACTTAATTTGCACACACTTTTAAATCTTGTATTGGCCTCAGCAAACCCATTTGGAGAAGAAGCAAGATACTTTAAGGAAATGCAAGAGGAATTCTAAAGCACAAGAACTATTGAGGTTGTAGTTAATCATTTTTAGTATAACATTTTAGTTTTTGCCCATCCAAAGCACAGTTAGTAACTAGACTAAATTCTTTCCAGTATTCCATCTAAGTATCTACTACATACTGCTCTAGTTTTTTAGTACTCTGTAATATGTATCTTACTTGTGACTGGTTGGCATTGTTACCCACAGGAACTCCAAAAAGTTATCAATCTGTGTTACTTGCTGGTCATTCATATGACCCCAGTTAACCACACTAATGTTCTGGTTTAGTATTAATTCTGGATTGGCATGCCCTTGTTCTTCATAATTTGTCAAACTTCACATAAATATATTTTCAATTGTGAGGTAAGTGTATATAAATTATAATAATGCATCTGTACCTTCATATCTTGAATGGCAAAAGCTATTTATGCTTAAATATTTCATTTTAAGTACTATAATGAAGTATAAATACTCTTCTGTCATATAATTAATTATAAGTATAGATTTTAAAGATATGGGACTGTTTATTTTCACATAAGTCAGTACATGTTTCTCTAGAACAATATATTTCATTTAGAAAAGCTTTATAAATTGTATTAAAAGGAAGCAGGAAACATATTTTTTAACAGAACAGAAGTGACTTCATTCTTTTTTGACATCAGAAATGTTAAAAGTTGATTCCTAGTATTTGTTGTACTTTTTTGTAGCAAATGTGTTAAATGTCAAAGTTACCATATATAGAATGTAGACTGTCACATTGATAGATTATACAGTGATACCTTTTTGTCTGTAGGCATTTCACCAATTTATATACAATATTATAGTAACAAGTGGAATATTTGTTTCTTTCTAGAACAAAATATTTTATTTCTACTGTGAAGACTTTGTTTTACCTTATTTGCTACAAAGTTGTATACCCTCTGAAATAGATCAAATTATTGCTACTTTGACTTAACATTTGCATCATAAACATAATTATGATGTTTCTTTCATGCTCCCCTCCAAGGGCTGTCAGTCACTTGAAATTATTGCTAACCAAGCTCTTGAATACGTTTCCATTTATGGTACAAAATTCTGTACCAATGCTTTATAACAATTATCAGAACTCTCCTGCACCCAGAGCATGAAATCTTTAATAGGAGATGCTGCAATAAAATGTTTACGCTATAAAATTTGGGGACACAACTTTTCATTTATAGCACAATTAGTGTGCATGTGCACACATAGCTTTGTTTGTTTGTTCTTTTTACAACGTCATTCCAACTCTTAAAAGTACTGTAGTCTGGTAGTGCCTCAAATGTTGGTAACTTTTTTTTTTTTTAATTTACAGCTTTTCCAGAATTTGTTTTTGTCCTTTAAAGTTTCTCAATTAGATTATTTCTAGTTGAACTGTAATTTGAATGCATTGTTCTCAGGGCTGTTTGTGCTAATTGCTGAAGTTTCATTATTTCAAAGCTAACTGCCTGAAAGTATATTGCAAATTTTTCCCAAATTATAATAGAGTGATACATACAAACAAAAATCCATAATATCAACATACTTAAACCATATACTAAACATTCAAGAAAAATATGAGAACATTAGTAACATCTATACTGGAATCTTGCCATATTTTTTTTCATTTTAGAAAAGAATTTGGTAGTCTTATCTTGGACCCTTATCCTTAATGATATATCTGAAAGCATTCCTTTGGCCTGGAACCCAGAGATAGTTGTAGAGCCAAACTTTGATGTGATTCTCAAACATATTTAGGGACAACAGAACAAAAATTCATAGTACTTTTTTGGGTACATTAAAATGTTTACATACTGAATTCTGTAATATGACCTAGGAACAAATTTATTATGAGAAAATATGGCTCTTAAGCAGAAAATGTGTGAACTATAAGCATATTTCCATAAACAGTATATTATATTGAACTGGTCAACAGTTTAAAATTTTCTGATATCATCTAAGCAAACTATTTCATAGTTTTCAAGCCTTTTTTTTTCCCTACCATTCAGACAAGTAATAGGCAACAAAAGCTTAAGAAAAATTTATTGTGGAAAACCTTAAAATTGAGAAAATTCAATCTATTAACTTTATTAAATTTTTTTCTCTGAATTGGGTATATGGCATTATTTGATTTTAGCAGGGAACATTTGGATTTAGCTTACGGAACACAGATGTTCTGTGGGAACATGACTTGAAGTTCTATACAATGTTTTTTCATTAAATAACCATCTTGAACATCAAGGTAACTACCAAGTGAGGTCAAGTGCCTGAAAAGTGCTGTATACATCTAATTAGCATGTTTTCCTTACATGAAAGATGCATCTTATAGCAACGCATATCAGGCTTTCACCTTCTAAAAACATACTTGCCAAACTTTACCATCCACCACTATTTCTGTCTCCCTAGAACAAGTCGAAACCTATTTTACAATTGAAAGAGAGATTCCTTTATTTATATAAAGTCCCTAAAACTGTGTCTTGATATTGGTAGACTTAAGTTTATCTTAGTTCAAGATTGCACATTTTTAAAGCTCTGGATATAAACTTTATTCAGTGATGACTATACAGCTTGTCGTAAGTCATAGTTGTGATCATTCTTGAACGGAATTCTTTATTGTGGTTAATATCTACTATAAATAAGCACTCTTGTGCCTGTTACAAAGTATAGTGCAAATTACTAGCTCTATACTGTTTTTGTCCTCCTCTCCAAAAAGAAAATAGTTGAAATGGCATTGTCTAATCCAGTGGCACTTTATTAGTAATACATTTTATTTGTCATAGGTATAAGAAAACTCATGCTTTTACCTGCAGAGACTCATATGTTTTAGCTAAAACTTTAAAATTGTAAGATATGTAGTATGGGTATTATTATAATCATGTATTTTACATTTCAAAAATGGGTAAAATTAAAATATTAAGCCTTTGTCTATATTAAAATAATTGTGAAATCCTTTAAAATGTAGATGGTAAACTTAGCAATTATAATTTTTGTTACATTAAAATATATTTGTCTGTTAACATCATCAGTTATATTAAATAAAAATAAAGTTAATTTAACAGCTTACACTATTCTTGTATATATACATTCCTAGAAACATTTTCATACTAGAAATTAATTTGTATATTACTGTTAAAAGAAAATCTAACTTGTATTTTTATTTTTTTTGTATTTTAGGTTCTTACTATACAGCACCCTAGCTTTACAGCTGGGAATGTTAATTTCTAGATTTTAGTTCCAGATTTATGTACATTTCTTTTAATCTTTAAATTTTCAATAGTTTTTAAGAATACATAAAATACATGGTTCAAAATTCTATAGGTACAAGAATAAATACATCTTCCCATCTTCGTCCTCTTTCTGTGCATTCTTCCAGAGATACACAGTGCAAGAGAGTTTAGTGGTCCCTTCCCCACCCCTGACCTCCCAGGATCTGAAGTGTTCCTTCTTTACCAGAGTTGCTGTTCTTTTTCCACAGCGATGTGAACAGTGTGATGAGTCCCTGAAGCAAACTCTTCACCCTTTTCCCAATCCTCACCATATCTAATCAACACCATCTGGATAGATTCATCCTCAGGGGCTCAGCAGTTTCTTCCTT